GTTTAGGTCAGGGGTTTCCAAATGTGGCAGTGCAACTTTATAGAACTTTTAAATAAATAAAGATATTGAGCTTCACCCAGACTGTCTGAAGTGGTGTTCAGAAATCTACATTATTTTTAAATTCTTGGGGTGGTTTTTATGTAGTGAGTCCCTTAACCTTTTGCTGTCTGGTATTTTGTAGTTACCAATATTCGAGATATATTAAACCATGTGCTGGGGATTGTATTAGATCACCTCTAAGATCCTTCTTCCTCTCTGAGATTGTATGATTGAAGTCAGAGAAATCCTGTTTCTGAAGTAGAGTCCTTTTCAATTTGAAAACTTTTGAGAGATCTCTGTTGAACTTTTCTTACCTAATTTGGAGAAAGATGCAGATGCAAATTAATTTATGATTTATGGCCCCGGGATTTTTTGCTTTTACAAGTGTTGTCTCCTCTCAGTATTTCCACCTGGGCTATGGTCAACAATCAAATGAAAATTTAAGGCAGGATACTAGGGCTGGGAGAGCCAAGACACAGGTCAGGAAAGAAACAAGGGAGAGATCAAGCTTAGCAGAGAAGCTGTTGAAGGAGTGGCCTTCAGCTGTGGCTTAGTCCAGAACCTGGAATCACACCTGATTCAGGAAAAGCCAGAAATTCAATTTTATTTTTACATTTTTGGCAGCTGGCCGGTGCAGGAATGGAACCCGAGACCCTGGTGTTATCAGCCCTAATGCGCTAACAAACTGAACTAATCAGTCAGCCCTCAGAAGTTCAATTTTAGTTGTAACAATTGCCATACCACTGCTAACAATTTAGAAGACAGGCAAATCTTAATAAAATGTTAAACAATGTGAATTTATTTATGCAAAAAGCACGATGAAAGTATAATTTAAGAGGAAATAGCTTTTTAAGGCTATAACAATAAAAATTTTTCCTTGGAAAAAATTCAGACCATACAGAAAAATATAAAGGGCAAGTACTTATTACTCATAAGCTCACCTTTCAGAGATAACCACTGGCAATATATTGCTATAAAGTCTTGACTTTTTCCTATGGGTGTGTACACACGTATATTTTAGAAAAACAGGATTTTCTTATACATACTCATCAGTATCCTGCTTTTTTCTATGTAAGTAAATACTAACTTAATCATCGTACAAAGAGGTACCATATTTTAACTAGTCTCCACTGATGAAAATTTAGGTTATATTTTACTATTATAAAAAGACTGTGATGAACATACTTATGTATACATTTTTATGTGCTTGTCTATTTCCTTAGGATAAATTCCAGTAAGTAGAATTGCTAGATTAGAGGGTAAACACATTTTAACGATTTTTTTTTTCTTTATTTTTTTCTTTTTTCGTGTCCGGCAACGGATCGCAACCCTCATTGTCGCGCCCGTACCGGACCGGGANCTTACACCACTTCCACCTCCATCAGAAGAGAAGCTGCCCCTGCAGCTAGGACCCTAGAATGAATGCTGGTGGACTGGACCAGAGCTCACCCTGCACACAGGAGCCAAGCCCAGCTGGACCTGAAGGTTGAAGCATAGACATCCAACCAGGCCTAGCCTAGATCAGCCAATCCCCACAAACCCCTAGACCTATGAGGAATGAATGATTATTATGGCGTGCTGCTGAGATTTTATGATTGTTTGTTATAGAGCAATAGCTGACTGATGAAGTTTAGGTCAGGGGTTTCCAAATGTGGCAGTGCAACTTTATAGAACTTTTAAATAAATAAA